CTTTTCTTTTCAATTACAGAATTAGACGTTGGTGAGAGTAAAAAGAAAATGTCCGGAAATAGTAATTGAATTAAAAGCACAAAAATGGATATCACTAAAATTATAATTAAAAAAAAAAGCTGGACACATAAAATTCCTAAGGAAGTTCAAATAAGAATAAAGTGAAAATAAAAACAGCAGTCTTTCATAATGACCATTTACATGATACGTTATTTGTGTGTATATGTATATATATATTTATTTATTTATGTTTCTTGAAAATAAATGGCCCGTATTAATTAGAGCTTTTCTCTCCAATGGCCAATATCAGATTGATCACACTAAAAATTACATAAAAGCGAATTAGTAATTAAAGGTGTTACTTCTTGTCTGTTTTCTTGGATTTTATAAATGTCTGCAGTTACATGCAAATATATATAACTCCACACAGGAGGAGAAAGATACGAACTTTGTAGTTACTTAACAATACAAAAATGCAGGCAGATACAACGGTAAGACAGTTTTATTATAACAAATTTACAAGGTAATGTGTTGAACGACCACCGTGTCACGAGACTGATTGTTTTACAAGTGCGTTACAAAAAAAGAAAATCATGTGACCAGAAACATCCTGGTGCAAGTTATTTTAAAAATAAAAATACAATCAAGTAAAAATAAAATATCACTGGTTGTTGAAGACCTGATGTGGTGTTTTGATGAGACTGATATTTTTCCTTTAACATACAAATGTTTGTAAAAACTCCTTTAGTTTATGTTGAAAGAAAGATGTAAAGGTGCCTTTCGTTATCAAATTTGAGGAAATACGGTCACACACACGAAACATTCCCGACAGTCCAAAATACACAGAAAATAAGTTGATATTATACCTTTGTTTTGGTAATGGGGCATTACAATTTAAACTATAGAAGGTAATAATGGAAACTGGTTATTCAGTCTTTGGTTATTTACATATCTACAGATTAAACCACCCACTTTTTTAAAAAATCACAAAATAAATTGAAACATTTTAACTCTGTAATAGAGTTCAAACGTTCTTGTCATTTGAATTAGCGTAAAACACAATCATGTTTTAGATTAAGACTACTTTTATATTAGTATTGGTTATCTACTTTTTTTTCCGATAATACTTAGTTGTAGTCATGAAATGTAACTTTGAACTATGAACTGCATTAATATCTTAACATTGTAATTCACTGAATGGTCGCTTTAATCATTTTTCAGTAACTGTGACACTTGACTCAACTTAAAACTTGTACTTATTCCCACACTGTGTCAAAATCTACAATAATAACAAATAGAAGGGTTTGTTACCCTGGAAATTACATTAACATAAAGACAATACATTGTTGCAAAATGATAAATTAATATGTAGGTTCAATGATAATTTTTTTTCACTCATTGACTAAGTTATAAATGAGGAACATTGACCTTTACGAAATATTTACTGACTACTAATCGGTCACTCTTGATGCAAATATGACTTTCGTATCCAATATACACTATGCTTACCTTTCTAGGTGCTGAAATTTCCTATTAAGTTTATAGTCATATGCTGCAGTTAAAACCAAGCTTAAAGCTTTTATGTTTTCAAATTTTAGATTTACAGTGATTCAGCAATGCATCCTCGAATTAAATTTGAAAATAGTGTTTTTTACACATCTAGAACCGTTGCCATTTGGGTATTTTACTGTTAAATTTGTTAGAATGCAAATATCAACGTTTGATAAATCACACTCATAAATTCACTAGGCAACGTTCATGTTTTAAGAGAACAGTTTATCATAACAGGCCTTTAGACTGTCCATCAAAGTGCTTTATTATACGTGGTGCAAATTTCAAAAATAGCCCATTGATTTTAGTGGATTGTTTACTGAGACCACTTATTTTAATATAGTAACCGGTGAATTGTCAACTCCACAGACAAAGAAGCCACTGTTATCTATAAATAAATTAAATCTTCATGAAAACATTTTTCAACATAACTCAAACATGGATGTTTTGTTTGAAACTTCGAATGGTGTAATTGAATGTATGGGTTTACAAATAACGCTGTACAACAACTGTACATGGAACTTATTTGTAGTAAATTACATTTTCTGTGAGTGTGAATAAATTTCAACTTTTAAAATTTTATCCAAATTATTCGTAACGACAAGTACATTTTTTACACTGACATGTAAGAGTAGCTGGAAATTTACACTCCAAATGAACAGTGTTATTTTATTAAAATGTAGTAAAATATGGCATCGGCATAAAAAGGATCACTCACACTTAGTAATTACTACTAATGCTTATAAATAAATTAGTTGGCAGACTTACAAGGCACTGATTAGCCTTATTACTGTAAAGAAATGTTTCCTAAGAGTATTAAACCCTCGAATATGGAATTCATATGAGTTGTAAAATACTGAATTGGGAAACTTAAAATATTGTTAAACTTACACCATAATTATATCACTGCAAATGTATAAAATTTAATAGCGTTATTTTAACTAACTTATCCTAAGAGCAAGATTTACTACTAACTGACCAACTAACCCTAAAAAAGCTCGTTTATTAAAATGCTGTAATCAAGAAGGGTTCAAAATCAAGAAAACAAAACAATGGTTAGATGAATTATAAAATTATTATTAACATTAAAAGAATATATATCCATTAGATTAAATTAGATTAAAACAAAAAATAGCTGCGAATTTTTCTTATTTTCTCCTTTTAAATAATAGTTCATTGCTTGTGGAAGTTTTTGTTGGATTTGGATTTCACACAATTTAACTGAATTCTGCATTAAAAAACAGTTAATTATAGTAAAACCTTTACTTGAAAAAAAAAGAAAAGAAAAGAGAGGCTAGAAAAAAATCTGATTTAGCTTTTCCTAATACATATATTCTAATCAAGGTTTTAAATGGACACATTTACTTATATTGATCTCTAATGAATTTGTTGCTTTTAAGTAAGGTTCGTTTCAACGAACACTAAACATTTGTGTGCAAGTAAAAAAAAACTACGTTAAGAACAGGGGCTAAACATTTGTACCAGTAATATTTTTTCGTTCGTAAAATAACTTATCTGGAAATTTTTCGTACATTTCAACCATGAAAGCACAACACTCAAAAGTGAGTGTAACTGAGACTCGAGCGATTTTTAAAACTCCATCAAGTGTTGCTATGTTTATATGCATTGATATTTGTTATTTGTATCCGCAATTAAAACAAACATTGCGATAACCATTTAACAGTACAATTCTACGATTATCTATGTCAGTCATTTTAATGCATCTAAATAATTATTATATTAGCTATATATATATGTGTGTGTGTATTAAATAATTATTATATTAGCTATATATATGTGTGTGTGTATTAAATAATTGCCCCCCAGTAGCACAGCGGTATGTCTCCGGACTTACAACGCTAGAAACCGGGTTTCGATACCCGTGGTGGGCAGAGCACAGATAGCCCTTGTGTAGCTTTGTGCATAATTAAACAAACAAACAATTAAATAATTATTACATTAGCTATATATATGTGTGTATTAAATAATTATTATATTAGCTATATATATGTGTGTATCAAATAATTATTATATTAGCTATATATATATGTGTGTGTGTATTAAATAATTATTATATTAGCTATATATATGTGTGTGTGTATTAAATAATTATTATATTAGCTATATATATATATTATACTGTGTGGTAACTTAAAAAAATCAGAATAAACCTGCTAACCCAAAAAAGTTTGAAGTTTTGTGATCAGGTGACCTTCATTAAAGTTTTATGTATATACGATATGGCAACCCGAGTTTATTAAAATTGGTCTCTGACTAGGTGTTTGGAGAAACTCTACCCATGTGAACACCATGTGGAAGTCCACGCACTAAAGAACGTTGTTTTGAGATATACTCTAAAAGTATCATGCGCGCAAAGCTGAAAGATGTATAAACTTTGTATATCCTGTGTTAGGTCAATGGATATACAAAGGATATACATCTTGTGTTAGGTCAATGTAGATAAAAATGTAGTGCACAGCATCACAAACACTTTGACTTTTACAATATAAATGTATTGTTTTAATCATTAGTAAATAATTCACTGCATGTAATGTGTAGAGAGTATGATAACTCTATTTTTTATGTTATCATTATTTTGTCATGATTTGCAAGTTTGATTTTTTAATTGTTTTTCCATCTTTTGTTTAAATACATCCACTTCTAATAGAAACTGCAGCAATTTCACGGGTCTCAGAGATAACGAAATCTTAGTAACGTAACGAGTCATAAATATAATGGCCTACATAAATATATAAAGACAATTCATGACAAACTGTTTAAAAGGTTTTCTATTAATTGTTTAAAACAATTTTGAAACCAATCTTCAGACGGAGCTTCGTTTCAAAATTTATGCATGACGCATTTATCTGCGTCAATAACCAAGTGGAAGAGAAAAAACACAACATATTTTTATGTATATCTTAGCAACATGCATGTTAAGATTAAATGAGTTTACAAATACAAACACTAAGACTAATAAACGAATTATATATATATATATTCATGTGTTTTAAAAACCAACATTTAACATTTTTCACTGTACGTGCTTCATTTCAAAGTTGGCTTTCCATAAAAATGGCATTATGTTTAACCACATTAATGTTATACTAGAATGTCTAAACCGGATATTTTCAATTGAGGAGAAATGGCACAAATTGATCTCGCATGAAGTCAAGTCTTTCCGAGACTTATGGTTTCAGAATTCTGACATCGTCAGTGTTTTTAAATATTTTTGTAAAAACAAGGACTACGTAATGTTTGGTACTGACCGTTTCATCGGTTTCAACCACAAGCGTTTACTAAAAATTAAAATAACTTCTTTTTTTTCTCATTTTACTTGAACAGCGTTTAAAGTTTGACGCAACTGTGGCATTTCTGTCCATATATTTTCATTCTTTTTAAAAAAAACATTGACACTATGCTAACTTAAACGCGCCATCTACAGTACATCAGCACATGCTGTCATGAGAATACTTGGCATTACCGTTCCGTTTGACGCCACTGTCTTCTTCATCAGCAGCGTGTACGCTTACAGCATGTGAAATGGACACCACGGTCATACCTTTAGTCCGTTCACTGTCCTCGATGTGTTCGAACCCAGGACTGTTTCTAGCTGAGCCAATAGAATTGTAGGTATTTGTGCTACAAGGTGTTTGATTAGCCAATTCCAAGTCGCCTTGTAATTCTGCGACAGATATCTCTCGGTAGTGAGCAGTTCCCATTGGCGTGGGTTGAAGAGAATAGACTAATACACCAGTAAGAAACAGGAAAAATGACAGCACGTATAACCAGTGGAACTAGACAAAAGGAAAAATATATAGATGTATTAAACTTTAAAAATTACCAAGTCCAAAACTAACTGTATATAATTTTAAACCAATAAATGCTTCATAAGTAAAAAGTACTTCGACATTCCAGGTTTTGTGTTTCTTTATAAATTTCCAAAGTTACTAAATAACTGAAAACTATTATATTAGAGTTGCAAATATCTATTTTTTACGTTCATTAAAGAAACAACTAACTTTCAGCTCTTATAAGATAAATAATAACAAAAACGCAGCCATTGTTCTCTGTAGAATGATACTTGTGACGGATTTGTTAATATATATTTATTTTAATATCGACGTTTGTTTAGATTAAATTTATATTTAGAAACATACATAGCTTGTACTGTTAGATATGTATTGCGAAACTTCCGCCTATTCTCAAAAGTTGTAGAAGATTCTCGAGAGTAAGAATCAACAATATATACGTGTACGTAAACGCTTGTGTTAGCATCAGTATTGTTACCTAAAACTGAAATTTGGAAAAACTCTCCACACGCCTATAAGTATAACCATCGCGACGCATCAAAAGAGAGTATCTATTATTAGTTTGCTATATTCAGTGTGCTATAAACTTCAGAAG